TTTAAGAAAGCGTTTTATAAAATCATTGTGTGGTTTAATGTTAACTTTGAAACTGTATGACCAAAACAAAAGTCGAAATATCGAGTTTAAAAATGTGACTTACACTCGAGATGATCGAGAGAAATTTGGTAATATCATACCTTTGAATGTAACATCAATTGGTGAAAAGTGTTTTAATTGGTGCAGCTATTTGAGTAGTATTACGATACCATTAGGTGTTACATCATTTAGCGATTGGTGTTTCAGTGGATGTAGTAGTCTCAGCAGTATGATTATACCATCAAGTGTCACATCAATTGGTTATCAATGTTTCAGTTATTGTAACAGTCTTAAAAGTATTACAATACCACCAAGTGTCACATCAATTGATAATTATTGTTTTTATGGATGTGATAGTCTCAGTAGTGTTACTATACCATCAACTGTGTCATCAATTGGTAATCATTGTTTTGGTTTTTGTAGTAGTTTAAGCAGTGTTACCATACCTTCAAATGTCACATCCATTAAAGATAGTTGTTTTTATGGTTGTAGTAGTCTAAAAAGTATTACAATACCATTAAGTGTGAAAACAATTGATTGCAAATGTTTCAGTAAATGTAGTAGTCTCAGCAGTGTTTTTATACCTTCGAGTGTGAAATCAATTGGTGCTTTTTGTTTCAGTTATTGTAGTAAGCTAAGCAGTGTTGTTATACCATCGAATGTCACATCAATCGGTGATTATTGTTTTTATGAATGTAATAATCTTAGCAGTGTTACAATAACATCAAATGTGACATTAGCTGGTAGTTATTGTTTCCCATCAAATACAATTGTTCAACATTGTTATTGAAATGACTTAGTTGTTACTTATTTGTTTTTTGAAACAAATAACCCAACAATTCATTAAACAATTTCTTATTGTTATCATTATCAATACTTATGATGTAAAAATAAGTATTTTTACAACATAAGATTAAAAAAATACTTATTTTAAAAACGGGTTTAAATAAACAACTTTTAAACAAAAAAACATAAAATGTTTAGTAACAGAGTGTTTTTTGTAAATATTTGCTCATTAAATCAGTTGAATGTATAGCAATAACAAACTAATAACAATAACTATCATATTTTTTAATTGTTACATATAATTTAGTATTATACAATTAATTTATAGATTATAACATACAAATGATTATTATTCATTATTAACTACTTTATTTAGTTGTTCATTTTGTCTTATTTTAAATTATAATTTAAAAATGATACTATTATATTATTTCGTATTTATTATTGTTTTCAATATAGATTTATCATTAAATTAATTTTATAATGTTAAAAACCAATTTATTTTCCAAATATAGTAAAGGAATAAATAATGATTTTCACAAGAAAAAACACATTATAGAAAGAAAAACCCAATTATGTTTTACTCTTATAACATTTAAAGAGTCTTCATAGCGCCGAGCAGTCATTATTAATGAACCACATCTTTGCTTTTGTATTACCAAGTTTTATCCAAACCAATATTAAATAGCTGTCAATTTTAATTGTTTTAAAATTATTAGTCAAATAGTCAAAAACTTATTTATGTTATTTGTTGTATTATTAGTTATATCGGTTTGAATCAAAATTATAATATTATTGTATTTTTTATTTCTTGTGTGTTGGGAAATTATTTTAACATTTTTATTAGTTACACATTTTGGAAAATAATATAAAAGATTGACTATACCACATACAGATATAGTACAAAGGTTTACCAAAAATAACAACTAATAATTAACAATTTCGATACCATCGTTAAAAGTGAAATATATAAAGTCGTATTTGACCATTTTAAAATAAATACATGAAAATTTGTTTATTTTCATTTAATTAGTATTTAAATAGTGAATGAAAACTTTAAACTTGTCTGAACTTTAATTTTTTCTTTATACACATTTTTAAAAATGAAAAAATCCAAGAGATTATTTTAATTTATTATATCATTTACAACAGAGCAAATTATTATGTTTATAAATACAAACAAATTAAAAACAACATGAAATATTTTATACATAATTTTACTTAACTAAACAACGACACATGTTTTGTTATATTTGTCATCAACTTGTTTTTGTTTGTATTTAGTTCGTACAATATCATTTACCACTTCGATAAAAATTTCATTGATATTTATTTTATTTTTTGCAGATGTTTCATAAAAAGAAACTCTCCACTCTTCAGCAAGTTTTTCACCTTCTTCAATAGACACAGTTCTTACACTCTCTAAATCACTTTTATTACCACACAAAACGATTGGAATGTGTTCATTATATGCTTTCTGTAGTGTTGTGTAGATTTTCTTTCTGAAATAATCAAGTTCGTCAAATGAAACCCTATCTGTGATTGAATAGACAACTAAAAACCCATAAGCGTTACGCGTGTAAACGTCACGAAGTGCGGAATATTCTTCCGAGCCGGCTGTGTCTAATATATCTAAAACATAGGACTTGCCATCAACTTTCATTGTGACAAAATAGCTGTCTTCTATGGTTGGATCGTAATCTCGAACAAAAAAATCGGACACCAACCGAATGATGATAGACGACTTTCCGACAGAGCCAAATCCAAAAACAACAATTTTGGTTTTCTTTGTTTCCTTTTTATACATTAATTAAGTAGATTTTATTGTTTCATGTTATTTAAACTTCACTCTTTTAATTGTTTTTAAAACTTGATTTAAATAAAACAATGAACCATTTATTAATTAATAAGTTAATTATAGAATAGGTGGTGTTGAGTGAAAACAAACAATTAAATTATCACATCATGGTCTTAAAACAAAATTATAATTGTACAACAACATGAAGAATATATTGTCTTGCAGGTTATAATATGTTTACACCTATGAATGGTAAAATTTTAAATATTTTATTATACTCAAATATTTATCATATTTTTAAAATGTGACTTAATTTTTTATTTTTTAATATTTATTTGTAAAATAATGAAAAAAAATTTGGTGTTGAATAAACAACAAATCAAAAAATTGGGAGAGACTGTTTAAAAATATATTCAAGGTGGTTTGACATTAACAGGATTAGTTTTAGAGAGAGGTAAATTGAGTCGATTTGTAAAACAGATACAGAAATGTAAATAATGTATTATCAATTCCAGTTTTATTTAATAATAATGAATATCATAATACTTATAATATCAAACATTAAAATTGGTGTTTGTAAATAACTTTTAAAATTGCTGATTTGTTAATATTTTAAATAATAAATATGCTGTAAATAATACTTAACATAATTATTATTATATTATTATAGTAAAATAGTTGTTTAATATCATCACTGTTAAATAATTGTGACATCAATATCATTAAAATTTATATACCTTATTATTATATTGTATAATTATCAACAATATTTGAAAAAGTTGATATTATGTATAAACACATTTTATTTTAAGCAGGGTCGGCAAAACGATAGTGTTATTGAGAAAAAACTTAAAAAATGGTAGATAACATTGTTTTTTATCAATTAATTATATCAGACAAAACACAATTATACTTTACCAAAAATATAAAAAACAAAAAACGATAAATAATTTAAAAGACGTATTTTAAAGTTTTTTAAATAAAAAAAAGAATTCGTTTTAGATTCTCTGTTATATTATTGTATAAAGATAAAATCTTAAAACGAAATAAAACAAATGCCTGTTAAAGTCGATCGGATACAAGACAAGTTGGCAAATAAGATAAACACCAAAACCT